TTCAGTTTGCCACACGCAAGCAAGCAAAGCGGGCATGAGTCGCACCTGGTCCGTTGGAAGTTCCAAGTAGAGCACAAAGTTGGTGGAATGGCCCGTCGTCAGCAAAGTCCCTTTGCGACTGAGTACCTCAGTGCCCCAAATCAGATAATTTCTTGCACATGCATTACCGGCCAACTCCCTGATTAGATGTGATTGAAGTTTGACACCGTGGAGTCAAATGGTGAAACGTGGCATTCCCACTTGCATGCCCATGGAGCATCTTGCATTATTACAAGTCATACATACTTCACATTTTCAGGGGGCCTTGGGCCATGGCATGTTGTGAAACCTGCCTTGTAGGTCGGACATCTGTAATCCTTCACGTCAGGCACGCGGTCCTTCGCTCGCACCCGCTGACTCCCGAAGGTGACTGTCTAACTCTTCCGGAATGGTTGATGTTGAAGCATGGAGCCACGAGTGGCGCCTTGAAAGGAGATCCCTAAAAACCAAAATATGGGTCACGGTCACCTTTTCTTTCGGATGTCCATTGGGGACGCTCGATCACGGGTTATACCTTTAAGTTTAAGACCATCCAACACGGGATCCCAAAATCTGGGGTTACCCGGGTCGACAGGGTCAACCGGCCAAAAAACAAATGCGGCGGTTTGGCAGTAGCTGCAAGACTCCTTCACGGGCAGGAACCACAGTGTGGGAAGCTCAGTGAAAAGCACCTCGCAAGAGCAATCCCTTTCCAATAGTACGCCGTTGATGCTGTCTAGACTGGAAAGCTCCTCCCAGAAAAAGGTTGGTCTTCACCAAAACAATGAGAAGAGAAAGGCAAACACCCAACAAGCTGAAACGTACCGCATGAATGTGAATTGACGAAGCTACGCAAGCAGCATCTCAGTTTATCTTGCGCCCTGACCAAGAACTATGGCACGAAATGACCTATACCTGCATGACACCAGGTCCATGCGCTAACCCTCACACCTCAGTGGTGAATCGGGCCTGATGGTTGCGGGCTGTTTGGAGCTTTTTTGGGCTTTGCCTGGAACCGGGCGAATGGGAATCAACCCTCCGCGCCTTGGGCTCGGATTCCTGTACCTGCCATGCTAGCTCCCCAACACGTACGCAATCCCCTCAGTACGGAAAGGGTATGGTCTCGTTGGTCTTAACGGCACTCCATTTGAAGCAAACTTCCAAACATGGTCACTAACACAAGTTATTGTTACCTCAACCGCTGCATTACCCCGGAAGATGGGCAAACGCCTCTCTGGCCTGCAGGAGGTCCCTCCGTCAATTCCCGGATAATTGCCGGTCCAACTAGGGTTGCGGTCCAACTAGGGTTGCCATCTACGCCCTTGGCTTGATCGGAAGGGATGCAAGAAAGGGGAGACATTGTCATGGTTAAAGCATGGCTTGTCAAGTTAGGTCTGAATTTGTGGCCAATCTGCGGACTTTCCCTTTGCAAGTATAGCAGAGCGTGGGACAAGAAATTCCGAAATTCCCCTGATGTTGCCGGATGGCTCACTCGCAACGGGGGAACCTTTGATATGCCATGGTGCTGGAACTGTCAATGGGTTCCTGGCATTGCAGTCCCTCGTGCTTCATGGTTAACGTTTACCCTGAATAGCTCGCCCCTTTCTCCTGACCCACTTTCAGCCACTGCTTCCCAGGCACCAACAAAGTGGCCAAATGATCCGCCCACACTGAAACAACGCCCGTTTCAGCCCTGCAACAAATCCAAGCAATGAACACATGCAATGCTGCCAACACTACTTCCGTTCATTGTTCCAAGGATTGCGACTCATCTGCAAAACATTTCGTTTTCCAGAAACGGCAACTTATGCTACTCCTCGTTGAAAAGCAGGCAAGGATTGTCAAGCCTGCAGAGGGCACTTCCCTCAAGGCCAGTCGCCCCCCCCTCATAATACAACAAGACAACCCACCAATTCACAATGGCCCCCTGCGGCACTGGACAATTAAGCTATGTAATTCCCTTTCTCTTCCCATTGCAGGTCTATTGTCCGGAGAGGACTCACAGCTATTACTCAGGGGAAACATGATGCCAAAGCGCAAAAACGGGAACACTCACCTTGCAAAAGTCTGAAGGATTTCCCCAAGCCCGGCTGTACACCATTTTCGTGGGGCCCCTCTCATGTGAAACACACAACCCACATCCCCGCGCGCCAGGTGCGTCGTACAGTCCCAGCGGGCGCCTCGCAGCCAAAAGCGACCCTCATGGAGATGATCCCATGTGTCAAGTTGCACGCTGAAATTTTCATGACCAGAGAGCAACGACAAGCAAACCAATCACAAACAGCATCATGACGCATACGCAAAATGACCAATGCAGCAATGACATGCAACACATGTTCAACTTGCTGCCCTTTGCCCTTTTGCCAAGCATTCGCTCTGTCACAAAACGAATCTGCCGCCTTCCATGTACAGGCCATAAATGTACACCCCGTCCTGGCACGAGACATGCATCATTAGTCAGAAATTCCTCCGGCATGACTTGAGCCTGGATAGCTCAGCTACAGTTTTGGTCGCCTTCAATCGAACATGAAGCTAGGCACTTCCGGTTCGCTTTCTTTGCATCGTTTCTCCTCGGGTTTGTCCAATCTGCGCCTTGAAGTGACTCGTTCAGATCAAACCGCGTTGATTCTTGCGATTGAAATGCAACTTAGGAAACAACTCTCCAGACTCCCAAAGGACCACGCGCCTCCGTTCATTGACACGCCAGATTGACAAAACACGCGACTACCTAGAAATGACAAGGGCCCTTGCTGGATGAGTGCTCGCGTTCGTGCACCCAGGGCTCTATCCATGGAAATCGTCAAAAGCCCGCAGGTCGTGCCTCCGGAGCCATCGTCAATTCCTGAGCTGTCAACAATGAAAACGGCGCGCTCCTCCCGTTAAAGGGCGCTCCTCCCGTTAAAGTGCATGAGTTGCTGAGTTACGGTTCTTTGCTATGTTTGCTGACATTTAAGGCTTATGTTCTGTCAATCCATTGTACGAAATTGCATCCGATGAAGTCGAGTTCTTCCGAGTGTGATGGACTTGCTTCGCACCCCTGCACATTTCCAATCTTTGTGTTGTTCCCAAACTAGGTCAACACAACTCTCAAACACTCTTCCTCCTTGCTCCTCGGCAGGCAGTCGCCAGCGTTGACAATTAGGCAAAGCACATGCATGTGCTCTCATTTGGCGTCACACGCAACAGTGGCCCGACTACTGATCTTTCCAAGGAAGCCGACGAAGCCGTTGCGGCCCTGACTGGCAGCATGAGCCACACGCCGTATCTCTTGGCTTGAGGCCCTGTCCTTCTTCGGATTGACCACATTGTCCATGACCTGAACAAAAAGCAACGGCTCTACAGAACTTCACTGATTCACACTGGCTCGAGCATTGTCCTAAATATGAGACTCTTACCATGTGTGACCCTCATGGCATACCCTCATCACCAATGCAACCTACCATGCATGGGGCCAACCATGAGTCCCTGAACTCTGCAGGCTGGACTTGCCGTGTGGCTTCTTACATGAGCACACCATGACTCTTGTAATTGTAGCAAAGGCTGGCTACAAACCTCGCCGACGGTGTCGCCTTCTGGGAGAACGAGAGCAGATCGATCTCTTCCCCGTGCTTCCTTGCACCGATACGGGGCAGTGCACATGCGCCGGAGGTTGAAGTCTTTTGAGAGACTCAAACCCCGAAAACCGACAGGAAGATCCACTCTCATAACGTTTTGCAAGTAGACTACGCGCCTAGGTTCACTCACTTTGACTAAAACGCTTCGTCCATCCCAGCCTGGCATAGTTCTGCATCGCCCCTGTAAAGAAGGCCTGGCCAGCAGACAATCTACTGTCAAACGGCATTGCATTCGCTCTTTTCATTTTACAAAGCCCTCAAAGAGGCCTGGAACCATTTCTGGTTCAGCTAATAGCCTCATGGGGCCGCTTTCTTCGGCGGCAAGTGGCCGCCACTTGTTTTCAGCCCCAATCAGGGTGGTCCTTTTGCCACTCGCATACCTCCAAGAGGAAACATACACGTTTGTTGGGCGCCAAATTCTGGAACGTGTCCCTCCTCCTCACCTGCACCAGCACTTTTTTGAAAACCTGCACCCTCCTCCTCACCTGCACCCTCCTCCTCATCAACCGCACACTTTTTCCAAATCGCTTCCTGCAAAACCGACCTGGCCGACCCTTGCCACGCCTGAGGGAAGAAGATGCCGCTGATCCAATGCACCGGCGGCGTGTGGCCGAGACTCAGCACGAGTCGCATACTCAAGGGAGCACCGGGCAAAAGCTACACCGGATGCCCTAGAACATGCAAGTAAGGAACAAGGGAGATTCAAAACTTCACCGCAGTTCACCAGGCTTTTGCGATACTTTGAGGTTGGATGTGGTCGGTTCCTTTGCAATATGTGGAAAATCAAGTGTCCAATCCAAAGGGAAGAGACAACCACTGAACTTTCACTTGATAATCATATTTTCTGCTTGTTGCATTTATCTCCCCTTTGACCGCAAGCCCAGGTTGCAATCTTCACCTACATGTTGAATTGGGTGGACCATGCGCCAGCCACTCTGCGGCAGCAGGTTGCCACGTACACTTCAGTTGACTACACGTGAGCAATGCAATATTCGTCTCCACAAAGAATCCATATCGGAACCAAGAACATGACTGATGGCACCCTTCTGCGAAGATAGTTTGGATTCTGCCACGATCGGGCCGTGCTCCATGATCTAAAACATGGCACAAGCTGCCGTCAAGATCAGAAAGGCATGACAAACAGAAGCTCGAGCCCTCCAGGTATCCATATGTGTCAACATATATATATATATTGTATGAATGACAATGCCACATACTGCACGTAGGCACATGACCCGCTATGTACACAAACTGCTCCTGATTCCCTTAACACAAGGACACCATGCCCATCCAACACGAACAAACGACTATGACTTGGATCCGACATGCTCCGCTTCCTGCCTTTGTACTTGCGGTGGACATGGAACAGGAGGCAATGCAGCTCTCAGGGCCCACACAAATGCTCAAATGTCAAGAATACCACGGGGAACAGAATCTCTCCTTCACCATGACTCTGTTCAGTCTCGATGGGAACCAACAATTTCATCACAAGCAGCTATCAGCTACTCATCTTGCATCCTGAAGCCTGTTGCCCAAAGACACTGTCAATACTACACAAAGTACATGCATGCCCTTCGCCGCATTGCTGCAGCTGCATAGGCAGCAATCACACCAACACTACCAACACAGAAATGCAAAAGGATTAGCACAAACACACATGCTGACCCAACCAGCAAGTCCAGGCAATTGCATTGAGCCAAGCCGCTCGTTCCAGTTCTGAAAGAATGACACCCGCGCAATGATGTCTGGAAACCAACCTGCCGGACAAAAGGCAACACGAACTAGCTTTGCTCAACACAAGCAATCCAGAAGCGGTGTCTCCCGGTAGACGGGCTTGTGGTTTCCACACTCCACACGTCCCTCGAAAGTGTACGAACCCAGTGGTGAGCGAACCCATGCAGGAATGGCAATGCTCCTCGCCAAGGAATCACCTAATCCCAGCAGCATGTCGCATCTGCAAATGATAAACTCTTGAAGTGGGCAAGCCAATTTATTGTACCGCCTCAAAGCGTAAACTACATGCCTCAATTACGCAAAGAGTCCCTGACCATAGCCCCGGAAACACTGAAAGACTCCAACTCCCACAACAGGAATGGCTATCGCCCCATAAGAGCTCATGTGATCTGGCTGCACAACGCGCCGGCGCGGCTGCTCAGCGGCTTCAACGACAAAGGGCCTTTCTTCGCCCTTGGCGCACGTCTCAAGCAGCATCTTTAGGCCTTTGGTATGTAATAAGTTCAATTTGTATGCGCTTGAAAGCCTCCCTTAGCAAGAATGACCGAGATCGACATCTAAGGCATTGCTCTTTCTCCGCGAAAGCGTCATTCGTGGCAATTATCAGTCTGCGTTTGGTGCCTTGATCACCCCCAACGACTCGCCAATAGTTTCTAGGCAACCTTTAAACACATGTACTATGGTACTGTGCCGAGGCAAACACATCACTGGCATCCGGTCTATGAATCACGCAGGACCCCATGAGGCGTTTCTGTGCATAGGGTTTGAGAGCTTGGCCACATCTCAGGTACCTGGCTCTGGGCGGGAAGGCCCCGAAACAACAGGCCAACGGCAAAGGGACGGCAACATTGATTCAAACAACTGCGCCAAGGGCCCGTCGTTTCAAGCATCGAATTTTCAAGGCGTGAGTGGCCTCAGCACGCTACGGTCTTCCACCCACCAATGATGCTGAACTCTGCGGCTTTGCCGGCCGCGAATAAAACTATTGCGGACCAGTTGCGAGTGTCTTTTCTGAAGGTACCCTTTCTGGGGTGGCTCGATAAAGGAAAACCACCCCCCCCGCCCCATTTTTGGGTTCCGATATTTCAAAGACGCGCTCATTTGCACATGAGGCTGACTCTACATGTGTCTCCCGCCTCATTTACGAAGACGGACTTGCCAAGCTCCTCGAGCTCCGCTGTCATGACCTGAATGCAACCATCGGATCTGCTCGTGAGACTTCATGTCCAAACCCCCCGTTTTATTTCATACACAGGAACCCTGTTGAGGGAGACAAGAACAGTAGATTGCAAGCCATGACTTGGAGAGATTGGTGAGTCACGCCCATAGGCCATAGACTGACAATTTGGATCCCTTGCATCAGGTGGCCTCTAAGCTATGCTTGCAGCGCCAGTGATCAAGGCTACATAAGGACGCAAAGGGCAAGTTCTAGCTTTTAAATTGCCCACGTTGGCCTTACGCTTGTAGCATGCAAACCGCAATATCTGTGCCAGTTGGGCAAAACACCTTTTTGGTCTGCTTTTGTTCATGGAAGTGGTGGCCTTGTGATGCACCGGGGGTCCCGACGATCAAGCCCTTGATGGCTTTCCGGAACGCCTGGCACGTGCTTGACGCGGTCCATGGCTCTGTGACCGCCCGGCCAAAGCAAACCGTGACCTCTGCGAACCAAGCTGGAAGCTTCTGGACATCTCCTTTTGACCAACAAAACACTGCCAGGACACTAGGAGCAACTATTCCTTCATCTGAAAACCACATACAAGCTGCTCAAGCGCTCAGGCCGTACTTCAGCCCGCGCCTTCAAAGAGCTCTCCATGGTGTTCAGCAGCTTGTTGTAACCTCGTCATTCTCAGCCCAAATGGGACTCCAGCACGGCACAAGGCCCAAGGCACCGGCGGAGGCATTCTTGTTTGACAACGGTGTTCATGGATTCCTGCGTGAAGCAAACACTGCTCACCAATTTATGTTTGTTCATCTCCCCTTGGAAACGATCTTCATCGCATCATTTGGAAATTGCATTCGTATACCGCTGCACTGCCAGTAAATGGTGCTAAAGGCGCTTGGATTTGACTGTAGGGAGGTAGTGTTGAACAAGCAAAGAACGAAAACAAAACCTGAACAGCCTCAGGCAACCTCAAATGAACTATTGTCCAAGCCCCAATGACTACTACCCCGATCACAGGATGTATAGCTATCAAGAAAAAAACATTGACTGCACAACTTCAAGTCTGGATATCCAAACAGCATGCCAGCCATGAGAAATAACTAAGCCTGCAGGCGAGGCTGGTCTCTCAGGAGAGGCACGAGGTGATAAGGCGATAGGGCGAGAATTGGTCGGGGACAATAATTGTGTCGGGGATCCCGAACTGAGGAATCGCTACCCGTGAGCCCGCTTTTTCCCCCAGTAAGCTGAAGCTTGCCATAACAATAGACAGACTAATCTCTGCTCCTCATAGAGCGTAGGGAACTTCTGCTCGCACATATCCAGCCTGTCGTGCACCCCAAGATACCCCAAAGCCAAGATGTTGCGCCCCGAGTATAACCGGGATCCAAGAGAAAGCCGAACGAAACTCAACGTAGCATAGCCTTGCAAAGTGGATTTGGGAGCGTCTCCCGAAAAATCCCTTGCAAATCCTGAGTTTGGACTCCCACCCCGTGCACTACCTCAGGGCAGCTGCTGTGAGAGCAAAGGTTTGAAGCATACACAAAGGCTAGTCCTCGAAAAGGAATGCCCGTTGGTTCCGCTGGACCGGTGGCGGTGTTGCAGGCAGGTTCACCATGGAGCCTGGAGATGCTGCTTGGTGTCTCGATCTACGAATTGCAATCCTTCGCGTCAAGCAGTTTGCCAGTTGAACTTGTCGAAGTCCATGAAACAGTGGCAACCCATCATCTTTCTCCCTCAGCCTTGCGCTGGCGCAAATCCATTCGTTGTCTTTGTCTCAAAGACGGGGAACCTGTGTTCCAGGAAACCAACTTCAAACCAACCTTCAAGAGAAAGCATTTCGTGCAACTTGGTTGCCGGTTGGTGTTGGTCTCTCCCCTGGCTGAAACATGCCGCGGTCCACTCAAAAGGTCTAGGCAGCTTATCCTGGATGGAGGCTGCTGTCGCGTCCATGACCTCGAGCGAAGCAACTCTTAGTGCGCGACTGTGAGGGCGGCCTTGTGGATCAGGACAAGCAAAGCGATGGATCCAGGGCGGGTTGCCGAAGATTTGGCCCCACAGTTCGCGAATTGGGCATTGACATGCTGGCTTGTGTGAGCTGAGAACACATGACTAATCTCATTCACCCCTCAGCCAGCCAACACGGCAAAAGACTGCGCCCACAAGATCGGCGACCCAAAAGATCGGTGATGAGCCGCAGGTCTCCGGTGGAGAAACACCTGCAATACCGCAAGCAAAGCAACAATGTCGAGGCCCACTTAGGGCACTCTTAGATCAACACTTATCAGCTTGGGCTTGAGCCAGCTTATACAAAAAGTATACACCAGCTACAATGGACAGGTATCATAGGGAATCCAGCAAACGCCAAACAGTGATCGTGTCGTCATCCATCCTCCTTCTCCTCCGCCGCCTCCCTGTTTCTCCCCCTATTCTCGTCCTCCTCTTCTCCCCCGAGATACACAACACAGACCCCGAGGGCACCTCAGGCTCCACCTGTGCCCATCGGAACTTAGGCTCCTGACATCATCCGCGGATTTGCCATCGCCGCCCCCGCCACCAGCGGAAACCATGCTCTGCATGCCCACCAGCAGCTTCAAAGCCTGCGGTGAGTCAGGCCCCAAGTTAGTGCTCTGGTCGAGGAAACAATATGATTTCCTATGGAGCCGTCTGGACAATTGAGGGTCCTGCTCTTGCTGCTCTTGCTGCTCGCTTCTCTATGAAGCAAATGTGCTTGTACAGTAACGCTGCTGTGTTGGTTTTCAGCTTTTGCATCTGTTCAGCCAGTAGGATGACACTGAGCCTTTCAATGCGCAGCATATTAGGCATCTGATGCAGCAAGAGCTGATCCCAAACGTTTCAGCGTTGTCACATGATGCCAATTCGGTACCAAGGCAAAGCCATAGTTCTCAGTATTCATCTAAATGGCATCGCAAACTCAGGTCTATACTCTTGGTTTGTCTTTGGGCTGACGGCTCACTTGCCAAGTCCCAAGGCGGGGTTCCACAACCGCCTACCCATAAAATTCGGTGACGTTGGGGAAATCTTGAGGTCGTGTGAAGTCTTGTCATCATAATGCGCCTTCACACAGCCCGGGCCTCATCCTGAGCGCAGGTGATGTTACCTCAGTCCACACATCTTGCCAAGTGGCGTGTGGTCTGGCTTTTCAACTTCGGGAAGTTGACCAAATTTGTATCTCCGCCCTCCCTGCACATGATGGGGGAACGCTGATCTGGCAAGAAGCCGCCAATGGGTCGTCTTGTCCAAAGCACTGCGTGTTTGAGGCACTCACGTTGGGATGCTGATCTGGAGCATTCACCAACATCCACCAAGTCCATTGAGTTGCAGGCGATTGATCAGTTCCTGTCCTCACCTACGCAACATGGGTGTTCCAGTAGCTCGTTGGGGATACTGCAAAATACTGCAAATACCCATGCCCCGCTGCCTGATTTTCACTCGCCAAGCTGCAGTTGTCATGAAGGCCGAAGGCCTCTGGCATGGGGTAAAGCCTAGGTTGGGAGTCACGTGAAGTCAACAGCCTGGTGTCAAGCCCGGTGGGCTTCATACAAAGGAACCCATTCCCAGGTGCAAGTCACCAAATCGACCTGCTGGTGCCGTTCAGGCTTGGGCGGTAGGCTTCGGATGTACTCCACAAAATCCTGGCCGGCACTAAGTTTGTGCATGCGCTGCATTGCGGTTGTCTGTTTCATGTGCATGTGGTTGCATGGAAGCTACCCCCCCCCCTGCAAGGGCGGCACAAGTGCTTTGGACAGTTGCCAGTGTTTTGCGTGTGTCTGCTTGCTTATGTGCACGTTTGCGCTGTGTGTGTGTGTGTAGCCTACGAGCTGTCTCGTTTGCCGGCCTCAACTGTCTCAGCGCGCGGGGCATAGTACAATCCACTGGCGGAGTACCTGGCGCAGAGTTTGGGCCTGGCGCCAAAAAGCCACTCCACCTGTTCATGAGTCAATCTCCTGGGATCATTCCTGTAGACTCAGAATAGCACAGAACAGCTGGGTCACGGTTCCGAAGCCCAAAGGGAGCAAAGCTCGTGCCGTGCGTGAGGGTAAAAGCTTCCAGGGGTCGCAAACGTTCCGCGGGCCATGCAAGCTGGGAAAAACTGGACCCTCTTCAGCTCAGGCAGCAAGGACTGCCAACCAAAAAAGGAATTCAGCGCCATGGGCTGCTGAACGAGTGAAGGTCAGCGCACTTGTAGCCATCGGTCTGAGTCACAGCTTCTGGGCAAATGTAGGTGGCCAGAATCCTCGGCGCTGTAAGAAGTCTTGAAGTTCTAGCCCTTCTTCGAGCCAATGAGACAAATATGTTTCAACTAGCACCTCGTTGAGCCTGTCTGTTTTTGTGTGTGGATGATTGACCAGCTGCCATGGATAGCTTCTCAAACAGCGATTCCCCATCTGTCCTTAAGGCAAACAGCTTGTGAGGCCAACGGCCGTGCGCCATGCAGAACTTGTGACTTGAGGCACGTGATGTGCTCACTTGCTCGTCAGGCCCTCTTCTACCAGTGCTGGCGAACCCAAGTAAAGCTCAAGGCGCTTTCCTCTTGCAACTGACAGTCCCACAGTGGATACACCAACAAATCATCCAGGCAGGTTGCTACTCCCTTACAGTAGGCTCAACTGACATCAAAAGCACAAAAAAGCCTGAGAACGAGTGATTCTCACAGCTTATGTAGGCCCGGCATATAACATGGAAAGCAACCCAATACAAACATGAAGCTACAGGAAGCGTGTGACAAAAAGGTAAGTGCGCTGCCATGTTTTCTTAGATTGGCGACATACCTCGCTTCAGGCAGGGTGCGTGGAGATGAGCAACTTGTCCTTGTCGTCAGTCACGCGGCCACCGTAGTTGATCTGCGCACCCAAGAAGTTCAGCACTTTGTAGGGCACGTCCTCGCTGGCGTTTCACTTCCCATCGGCCAGGCCACGCTCGCCATGCTCGCTCTTCGCCCACGAGGCATAGAGTGCTAGCACCCGTGCGAATGTTCCCAAGGGGAACCCGAAAAGGGATAAAAAGTCACCCATCAACAGAAACACCCAAATGAGACAAACAGCCAAACAGGCGGTTTCTGGTAGCACTCCCCCTGGAAAGCCTTGTACTTGTTGACGAAGAGCATGAGCTGCTGCCTGCAAACTGCCAGGTCCTGGGCCGAAAACGGAGGGTCTTGGATACTCCCTTGGGAGGGTTTTTGAAGGGAAAATAATGGCAAAGCACATATGCAATGTTTGAGAATTTATGGAACTTTCATTGGAGAGCCTTTGGTGGACATTATTTCAATGGGTCATGTATATCCATGCATCTATCATTGTTGAGGGTATTCACAACGAGGCACCATGCACGGTTAAAGTTTAAAGCCAACAACCAACAGCAACTTGGCATGCTGATTCCCCAGGTGAACAAGTTTCGAAAGGGGCAAAGCGCTCATCATCAGGGAAGTCGTATGTTTCGTGTACTGGGGAGAGAGCATGCCTTGATCATGTCTGGACTTAATCGGTCCCAAGGACATCCACAGGCCGTGAAAAGCACTGGATACGAGCTCTGCACGTAGACATGAGTAGGTGCTTTCTGTAGTACACCGTCAATACCAACTCGGAGTGTCCACACTCGCCTGTGCTGTGGAGAACATGTAAGATGTGTCTTTCCTTGGGTGGCGACGGAAGTTCTGTTCGCGCAGGTGTTCAACAATCATTCGCAAAGGCACTTGAGCCTTTTGTCTAATGACAGTCCCAAACAGTGCTAGCGAACAGAATCAGAATGCTATGTCCCGTGTGTCTGATATGCAATGTACAAGGTGCCAACGCATGGGTCGTCCATGGATCGGTGGGGAACCTCCGCCCTTCCCAAATCAACTGCCTGCCTCCGGAGTGAAGCCATATGGAATGTTCCAGCCGATGGGCCCGAACTTGCGCCGATCCTGCAGCACGGCTTGTCACGATGTTTGCCCGTCCAAGTACATCGGTATCTGATTTGGACACCCGAGTCATCATCTAAACCTGCTACAAAGATGGTCAACCCAAAACCATGCAAGGAATTGAAAAGGCGGCCGCACTACTGTATGGCTGGGATTGTCCCTACTACCCTCCACTTAACCGGGTTTTGATTGTGATTCACCTACTGGGGAGAAGAGAACAGACCTCAACGCAGCCGGCTTGGTTTGAAGTGTTGTCCACCCCAAGTACTGGAGGGCTGCAAGTCTGCCGTGGGCTGACAGCGAGCATTTTGAGACGTCTTACAAAGACAAAGAAAACAAACACATGCAGGCAGCGCCTGTGATCTTGCAGGGCAACAAACCGGGATGAAATACACCACTTTACCACTTTGCACAACTGACGCAAGAGGGGAACCAAACCAAGAACAAACTATCACTAACAACGCTTACTATCCTAGAATTAGTGCAGTGCTTCTTTGGCAATTCTCTCTCGCTTGGGCATTCAGGTTCTATCGTGTGCTTTGCACGTTGAACCGGTCGGTGACCCTTCCTGTGGTCTGGCAAGTTCAACGCATGTTAAATATGTGAAAGCCAAGCGCAGGCCGCTATGTTGTTTCTAACCTGTAACTTAGCATCTGGAGCCAGGTAGCGTTGCTCGAAGTGGAATGACTGCACATATACACGCCCATGCGGGGATGAACGCGCGAGATATGTTCGCTAAATACTTCACCAGCCTTTCAAGAAGCCTAGTAGTACGCACAGCTCATTATGCAACAACTTTGCTAAAGCCTTTTTTGTTATGGGGCACGTGAGCATCGTAGTTGTTCTGCCGGGCTTTGCACTGACCAGCAGCAGCAATGCCTACGAAGCCTTTGCGTTCAGGCATACTGTCTGTTGCACACATGCCGAAATGGATACATCCGCCACCTTAATCATATCTCTATGTGTGCCCCCCATTCACAATGAACTTACACTCGATGCATGCACCGGAGGTATATGATGTCTGATCAACTTTGTGTAAAGGCCTCAGGGCTCCCTACATTTCACATTTGAACATCACCCCCAAAAGAACTCACCTTAGACGGGCCAAAAACGTGATGATTGAAACCATCAAATGGGGATGCAAAGGCAAACTCCGTAGGCCGATGTATGCCCGCTCTGGTCGTTTCCTCTAGCGGTCTTTGGCCTGGCTGCGGTTGGGCAAGCGCCCTGTCGGAAACACACCCATGGTCCTGAACGACTGCGTGGAAGAAGCAAAAGCCGAAGAGAAGAGTCTTGAAGACCTGCAGGAAACATGTCCAAACACCGAATGTATGAAAGAAGCAACATCTTTGTTTGCAGAAGCGTCCTTCAAGATCCAAAGGAGTGTTCTACCAACCTTTCCAATTCAAAAAGCTGGGACACTCAAAAGTCTCTCCTAAACAGAACTTGCAGCCCAAACGCGGCAAATCGCTGCATGCCATGCGCACTGAGGAGCAAGCTCCTGGCTTCTCTGACTCCTCGAAGAGTCGATCAGTCACCGTAGTGTAAGATCGGAGCCTCACGAAACTCAAAGCCAATCCCAGATTGCATGGCCGCGCAGCTATCTGGATGCACCGACCGGTCAGGCAAGCAAGGACTCAATGAAGTATTCATGGGAGCAAGCGACCAATCATGAAAATAAGCAACCCTGCCAGGCAAGCAAGCAGGCAATAAAGACAGTTGGCAAAACCCAGGCCAAGCAAGCAGGCATATAAATCCAATTCAAGCGACTCCAAGCACAGCAAAGGGCAGCAAACAGAGCGAAGCAAGCAAAAAGCGGCAACGCAAAGGCTGCAAAACAAAGCTGCAAAATAATTGAACGCAACGCAAGGCGAAGCGAACCGTAGGTAAGCAAGGCAACAAGAAACAAAGAACGCAAAAGCAAAAAGCAATCCAACACAATTGACATTCGGATACACCAAACAGTCAGGACACAACGCAAACAAAATGGCCAGCCGAACAGCCAACCAGCCGTTTGCCGGTCAGCAAAAGGGTCAGGAGCCAACCAGCCAGCCAACTCGCCAAACATCCATCAGATTCGCCGAGCAAGCAAAGCCGTATGAAAATAAATCGTCAAGAAAGAACCCGGCCAAACAAACAAACAAACAAGCAAACAAACAAACAAGTAAACAAGCAAACAAACAAACAAACAAACAAACAAAACAAAACAAAACAAACAAACAAACAAACAAGAAAAACAAACAAACACATAAGCAAGGACACCTGCAAAGAATGCAAACAAACACACAAGCAAGGACACCTGCAAAAGACACTACGCAAGTGCTTGATTCATTGATTCGCCATCTAACCCACTAAATGACTGCTTATGAACTAACTCACACCCACGACCCACCAACCCACTCACCTACCTTACCCACCAACCTCAGCCACCCACCAACGCCTGGAGTTCAATTCTGAGGCAGGTAGCTAGGTAGCCAGGTAGCCAGGTAGCCAGGTAGGTAGGCGGGGTGGAGTGGGTTGGGCTGGGGGTGGGGTGGGGTGGACCGAAGAACATCTCTCGCTTCCTGGGAAGGCCCACAAGTTGGCACGGAGGCCGGAAGGCGGCTCGTTGGTCATCTTGACTCCATTCTGCAAGACCTGCGGTGCGAAGGGACCCGAGAACGAACGCCCCAAACACAATCAGTCGTAGCCCCAGACACAATTGTTTTGCTGCCCCCAAAGATTGGGCCCCCATATCTTGCCCAAATTAACAGCAACCCACCAGTATGTTTGTCAGTTGCCCAAATGATTCAAGTCTCTCAGCCTGCTAAATTCCTGCTCAGAGAATGAGAGAATGGGGCATGCTGACACAAAGCCCTGGCAGCGGAACATCTCGGCATTCATGGTGGTCTTCTGTTCAAACGTCTCTTCACAAGCGGTAGAAATCAAAGCAGGTACCCAACACAAGAACGAAAAGCGATGCGGATTACTACATCAAACGAGCATCCTGGCTCCTTTTACGGCTTCTTCGGCTTGCAGGGGGGCTGAAATTCTCACGCGCCACGCCTGGACAGGGAAGGACTTGGCCGGCATGGAGGTGAGCCAAAGCCGGAAGTTGTTGGACATGTTCTCTGGGTCCAGCTGCTCAACCTCAGCTCAAGATGTCCGATCCCAGTTCCAGCTTAACATCACATCCGAAGCCACCCCAAACACGAGCGCTCATAGTTGCTCCTTGCCTCCTATTCTCCAAACATCGAAAAGCTGGGTTCTGGCTCGGACAAAAAATAACCAAATTGTCCAACCTGAAGCATCACCCCAAACTTACTTAGACTTAAAATGACGCCAGCTGATGCTGTTTTGACCACAACAACAACATGTCCCTTACATTCCCTTGAGTCTCGGTGCGTGTTGGCCAAGGGGTTGCCTTTTGCTTGGTGGCCCCGTTGCATTCAATGACGCATGCGGCAGTCCACTACATCTCAGTTGTCATAGGCACTGACACCTTTTGCTCTCGGCCAAACTCTTGTAGCCCAACTTATGCCTGGCCCTCGAATTGACTGTCTCCTCACTTAACTCCCAGTTCGTGTAAGGTCCTCGTTGTTACCTTCGAGCCCATCGATCGATCGATCGATCGATCGGGCCAGGCCCCGGCAATAGCCTCCAGGGTCGGCATCCAGGACCTTGGCCGGGTGGTTTTTCTTTCTTTTTCGCAGGTGCAGCGTCGCTTGCTCTTTCCTGGACTCTGGATTGTTGGATTCTCTTTCTTTCTCTCAGGGTGTTGGGGCTCTCTCCTTCCTCCTTGCTGCTCATGGCCAAACCAGCCTTGGAAAAACCGCACCTGCTGGGTTGAAAAGGGGAGAAGAAATCGGGCACGTGTCAAAACCGGGGATGCGTCTTGGGCCGGCTTGAGAAAGCCGACCCTATGAAACCACGCAATCAAGATGACCCCTGCTTTTGGTCCTTGGGATCGGTCTCACCGCTGTGCGGCACCCCTAAAGCGTGGGAATCCTCTGGGGTTGCCCCATGTGCAAGCCGAAACCAACGGCACCTGACATTCATCATTGGGAACCTTGCCAGCGCAAGTAACCATCTTCCAAAACAAGTTGCAGCAAGCACCTTGATTCACGCTGCCACTGCCGTTGCAGCTCAGCCCCATGCTGCATGAGGTGGCAGTTGGATAGAAGCACCCATCCTGGCGAGTAACATATACAGGCAACATGCGCTTGAACTTGAGCTGAATTTGCAAGCTTCCCACACTTTCAACAAATCAACCAGATGTCATGCATGTGACAATCAAGTTCATGCTGGTTCCTTTGCTTGGGCGCTTGTTCAAGGAGACCGGGTTGTTCACAAAGGGTATCTCCCAAATCGACATTCTGCAGTTGAACATCACTGCAACAAGGGAAGCCACTACCGTCTCGCACAACAACAAAGTGGTTTCACTACTACAGCAACGTCCTCAAAACTACCTCTGAATGCTGGCTTGAAGGACAACCACCACCATTTTGAGATATTAGTTGAGAACCTCTCACCAAAAATAGAACCTCTAGGGACCAAAGAACCACTGATCTTGAACTCAACCCTTCCACGCCTCCGCTCTGCCTGGCCGAGTCGATCATCTTCTGCGCCTTGGGGCCTTGCCCTTGCCTGCGCGGGCCCAAGACGGCCGAAGGGCAATCGAACATGTGTGGGGTTTCTGCTGGATGTCATGGACAATGCGACGGCAAAGTACCGGTCGCTCGAACACAAAACCCTCCTGGTTGGAACAAGGGGCAGGGAAGCCCGGGTCGGATCCAGAGTGGGCACTCCGAGCAAGTCTGAGCTGTTCGATGAGCCATGATAAAAAGCCAATCTGTGCAATTGCTGGGAAGTGTTTGTCCTACATTGGCCGGGGTATGATTTCAATGTTCAGCGTTTGAGGCTTCCCCATTCTGCTTGCATATGATCTGGATAGAGGAGAGAGTCCATTCGTCAAAGCAATGATACAACTGGGCCAACACTCACCATTACAGCGTTTGGCGAACACTTGTGAGAACTTCCTGCAACAGTTGCTTACAGGTGGTAAATTCGCCGATGCCACAAGAACAAGCCGCCATATGAAGCCCCAGCTTGTGAGCCGCACCACTCGTGAGACTGGACATGAGCACGCCAGTGTCCCTGTGTCCCTGTGTCCCTGAGCCCCACTGGGCCAGCTGCCCCAAAGAAATGGGCTCGAACTTCTTGGCCATACCAACCCTGAGCGAGCGTTGGCCAGGGGCTCGTGAGGCCTGCTCAAGAGAGGCCCAACGATAGCGCATCAACCAAGCACGAAGGATAAAATGCATTGGCAACTGCTTATGACATGCGGGGCGTCCAAGTCCATGCCAAGAAAACCAGCCGCTTGTGATGGACAGGGCATGGAACGTACAGGTATGTTACACGACGCTTTGGCCTGCACCAATTTCAGGAGTCAAAGCATGTGTTGCTCATTCCATGGCAACACTCTGAAGAAATGTGTGTTGCAATTTCCTGCGTTCGCACTGTCCAAAGGTCATGCCTCACCAAAGAAGTCAAACGCTTGAACCCCTCCGGCTACCCGTTGCCTTCGACCGAGTCTCTGTCGCTTGCTGAAGCACGCTCTTCCGAGGATTGTTGTGGGCAGGGACTAGATTCAGCTGCATGCCTTCTTAGTTTACAGCACATCTGCCAGCGCAGTCTGCGCAATCTACTAGAATTCACTAGAAAGGCTGAACTCAGGAATCCAAAAGTGAGGGACCTTCATCATGGGTAAGCCTGTTCTACCTCCAAAGCTCGCTATCATGGAGACACGTCTGCATGCTGTCGCCAGTGCAACGACTTTGCATCCGAGCAGCTGCTCAGCAAAGCGGATCACGTCTGACACTGGGTCTGTCCCAGGCGACAGGATGAAGATCAAGGGTGTGGTGTTGACCTGAGCGGAAAGGGTTCAGACAGCATGAAATGGGCGTATGTTCAGCAGCTTACATGATTTTGCGCGTTTTAGGTTTGTCCACAAATTCATCGGTGCATCCGAGCTCAGAACGGAATCTGCATAGGACTTGGCAATGTCGAAGGTTGGCGGATCAACGAACTTGCCGCCAATTTCCTCTCGGCAGGTGCATCGTACTCTGACGCATGTTCCAAAGTGACTTTGCCTATCAATCACAACCGTAGTTGCATGTATCTTAATATCTTACGTGATCTTACGTGCTTTCTTAAACAAAAACCCTGCTTCAAACTTGGGTCAGGTGACTGGAAGGAACCTCAGCCTGAGCGATGGATCGACGATGTGCCATGCAGCCGCTTCTCCTGAGTGATGAATGTGATGATGGCCGACTTCAAGCAGTCCACTCTGAAGCTTCGAACGAAGCCTGGCAATCTGGACGTGCAGTACCCTGGGAGACCATACCGGGCACCGTATTTTGCACCTAATGGTGTGTGTTACCCCAACAGTGCTTCCGCCCAGCCTTTTCTGTAGTCTTCTGCAAAAAAGGCAAAACTCATGTACACCCACACAAAAAAAACAATGATTTACCTCGGAGTCTGAAGCGACCTGTTTTTGAAAGTCCGAGCAGCCTAACATACTGTGGATGGACGAAATCCTGCACCACCTAAGAAACCCTGGAATGATGAATCCCCTGTAAATACCAATAAACAATGGTTTCCCATGGATTCTAAGTGGTGCAGGATTTCGTTCATCCACAGTATATCGTTCTGCAACAGAGCATCCTCCAGGACCCGCCAGTCAGCACATGTTGCATGTTGCTGATCTATTTCAAGCCTCTTCATTTTATTATTCGACAACCTTTCAGTTTGGCTCACAGTGATGGCTTGTCTTTGCGGGGAGGAAGCCCCAAAACCACTGGATTCCGCTGAGGTATCAACACAACCCCCAGGCAGGACAACAGCTGTAGTAGGATGCCAAAGTACCAGGGTGATGCGTGTGCCCCAGCTCGAGCTGGAGGGAGGATGGATCTCGGCAGCTCAGATTGGGGGATCTCCCGACCCCAAAAAGGGGGGACCCTTTGAGATAGATACCTGCGAGAATCATCGCGCCTTTCAACAGAAAAAGAACCGGAACATTTGCCGCAGAGAGGCATGAGCATGCAGTTCCATCGTGTAATATCTGCCCCACGGCCCCATGCAGTCATGAGGCAAAGTTGTCGTGGCCAGGTTTTAACGTAAGGTTGAATTACATAGCTGCTATTTCTGTGAGCACCTGAAGTTCAGCTCTTTCATGAAGCCCGCGCGAGAATTCGCCGCGGCCAGGGCAATCGGTGCGCAGCGTGCGCGGATGGCACCCTACAGCACCCGGCGCATCTCAGAGGTTAGCTCCGGAGGTGTGAATCCGGGTCCTGCCAGTCTCCATCGGCACGGGCAATGCGCTCAATTCGTTGCGCCTTTGTTTTCAGTACCCAGAAAAACAAAAAAACAACGCGCTGTGAGAGTTTAGTTCAGATACAGCAGTCTCAGTGAAATCAACCATACTCATCATGCTTCCATTGTCTATTACTCCTTCCCCTGGCTAGCCTGAACGAACGATTGACCAACTCTCACTCTCGCACTTCACTCGTGAGCTTTGGTGTGATCAGTGTTCAAAATTGGCGCCAGAATTAGATAGGTCAAGGAAGAGCTCCTAACTTTCTGGAATCCGACCCTTTGTGATGTCGCTCTGGGCGAGGCATACTGCATTTGTTGGAAGCCTCATGAGGCCAGGCCTATTGTATAATTGCCTTTGATTCATGCACTTGCAATCACCAATCTTCCATGTCCCAAATCTCCTGTCCGACAAAATCTGGCCGTCGTCTTAATAGAAGCAGGCTGTTGACTCATGTCAAATGTGGCGGAAGAAGCAACGCACAACGCACACACGCACGCGCACATCGGGGAATCAAAACTGATGTGCATATTTATAAATACATATTATCATATCCCACTTGGCGGGCGCTTGGTCTTGGTAAAAAGAAGAAAAACAAACTTGACTTGCGTTTTTAAACACATGATTGGATAAGCTACCATGCACCAAAAGCCTGGGCGGTGTCCTGCTGGCGCCCCTTGCACCCGCTGCTTCTGCGGCCAGTGCTTTGTGGTGATCCCACGTGCGACAGCCTGTCACAGCGTTCAAAGGAACACGTCAAACATGATTTTGGAAGTCCGCTTGATTGCGAAACACGTCAAACATGGTTTTGGAGTTCCCTTGATTGCTGAAACCAAGCATCCGACCATAGCCTGCTCCCAACACTGATCCTGTAGATTTGCTGATGAACGTGATGTTCGAAACACAGGATTTTGATCAAGCGACGAGTCATTTGGCAACTCCTTCTGGGAGTCGTTCAAGGCGCCTTTGAACTAACATCAGGAAGCAGTGCAATTAAGCAAGATGCACTGGATTGAGGGTTGCTTAATTTGACCCAGCAAAACAGCAGGCATATTTGCGAATTCTCTCTCCAAACATGAGCTCATCCTGGTTTGCCTTTAACCTCCCCCTGCCAAACACGTCGCCTCCCCAAGGTCCAGTGATGAGAAAATGGGCGCTGACACTTAGGGGCAAATCTGCGGGTCCTGCCTCTGCACGCCAGGCGGCAAGCTGTTCCTGCGTCTGGGAACAGAGTGCGCCAGTCACCAAACCCTAGTGGTCCACCCAGGACTAGGATGACACAAGTCAGCAGAAAAGCAATCCACAAGGCTCAAGCAGCCACGTGGCAAGCTCTGGGTGCGCTGTACGTATCATTCCATGTATTTCTTGCACTGCTCCGCCATACTAAAACCCGCTGAGGTTTGGCCAATGATTGACCGCAACGAAGCGGTGCTTTGCAGGCCTCGTCGTCTGCAAAGTCACGTGGTACCATGCAAACCTCAGGAGGCCAAAAGCACCCCGTGGCCACTCCCGAGCAAGACGCAAATCCAAAGCCCCAAGGTTTCACTGCTCGGCTTGGCGTTGGAAAGTCTAGACCCTGCCCACCCCAAAATGCAAAAGTAATGAAGATGGCATGGGCGAATGAAGGCATCAGGGCTTCTGCAGACCATGACCATCGTCCAGCTCCAGAGAAGGAAGCAACCTTGACTAGGAAATAGATGTTGACAGCATGTTTATTCATGCGGGCGTGACAGCACAATGTCCACCCCACACACACACACGCACGCACCACACACACACACAAATACACAAAGAAGGGGGCAGCAATGAGCCGACAATGCTTGGACCCAATACTGCTAGTCGGCTAGTCGCAACCTCTATACGGGGGGCCAACATCGGAGATGTATAAGGACATTGCTGGTGGTACTATCATTTGATGCATGAATCTGAATTCCCAGGACGTCTATGTTCAGAATTCAGGTTCCTGAACGTAGGAAGTACCTTGATATAATATTGTCAGCCCAAGGACCCACATCTTAGAAATTGACACGCATCGTATGTGTGTGTATCACAGACATGCAGCTTTGACATCCTACGCCGAATACATACTCAATGCTCTCATTCCGCTCTGCAAAGCCCTTGAAACCTACAGGGGTCAACTCCCGCAAACCAGGTTGGTCAATTCAGCGCTCCCAGGAAATGTTACTCTTCTTAATGCCTCTCAACTTCCCACTACGCAGCATTGCACCCCATCCGCTTGTCTGCCAGTCGCCGGCACGGCCATTCGAAGAAGCTCCGGTTGGCCGGCCTCTTCTAGCACTTCGCCTAGCAAGCAGCCAGTGGCGACTGAGGTCGAAATGCCAGCGCATACCAGAATCAAATTTTGATCCTGCTTTCCAACATTCTGCCCCTAGGAATTAGCGTACGCCGATTTCTGATACGAAGTTACTCTCTTATATCAGTCCAAAAGATTGGCTACTCAACAGGATTAAATTCGACAAGGCAAACATGGTCAGCCTGTTGTTTTGGGGCTACTTGTCGACTCTCTGCAAACCTACATAAGACTGCCCATGTAATCATGTAGAGGGCCCTCCCTTTTGACACCTTCCCAATTTCCACGAGTTATGATCTCGGGGAAATCCAGGCTGAATTTTCCGTGGGGCCCCGGGTCGGCATCGAAGTGCGACATCCGGCCTTCAACTCCGGGCCCAGGCTCGCTGCCGTGGATCAGCCGCCCATCCCATCTAGGCGCAACAGGTGCCCACGAAAAACCCCACTGAAACATGAGAGGTCAAGACCGCTGGAGTGGTCTTCATCATCGTTCACATGCCACGTAACCAGGCGTTTCGATGGAAAAGATGCTTCCTTACCTCCATCGTACAGGCGTTTCGAAGGCTCATAAAATGCTTCCTGAAGTCCATCGCAAAGCTTTCGCATCGGCACATACGTGAGATGCAGTTGCCGCCGCTTTCACAAGTTAGTACAAGGGGCGACCTGTAGATTAAGATCCATAGTGTTGCAGCTAGTGGCAGGTAAACCAAATGAACACCAGGGTACATGGCAAGGTCGAAACAAAATTGGCGCTTGGCCAGGCTTGTTGAGTCTACAGCATCGCATCACCAAAGTTTTGGATTCATGGGAAGCAACCTCTGAATGGTACCAGTGAACTGTTGCCCGGCAGGGAACACAATGGAACCTAAAGCCCTGAAAGACTCATCCAGCAAGTAGTCCAGCAAGTAAAACGTTACAGGAACAGACTCTCGGCCCAGCCGCAGCAGCATGTCGCCAGCTTCATGGGCTACTCCCACAGGCTGACAGTTCAAATCATCCTCAGGCATGGCCAGAAAGTCACCTCGCCCAACGGATTTGCTTCCACACCCCGATTTGAAACAAACAGCACAGCCGACATTCACGAAACGAACTGCATTCCCACCGGCGAAACAGAACAGAGCTTGCGGTGCATGGCTCCGGAGTCAGGTGCTTGACCGCTGGTGCACTTTTGAAGCTACTGCTGGTCAATTAGAGGGGACAACTTGGAGCCACAAGCACAACAAGGTGTATCCATGCATGATATGTAATTATATGGCGGCTGTCTGACCAGATACCCATCTTCGCGGAAACTTTAGCTGATGTTCACAACCTTGAATACAAAATAAAGACGCGAAGTGCGCTTCCGCAGGCTCAAAAGTCGCAGCTTTGCAGTTCCATCTAGTATGCATGGGGGTTACTTTGCAGCCACGGATTCTTTTCACGGACAGCAATAAGAACATTTGCGACCTCAATTGCGAAGCAAAGCGGAGGGCAACACTTAGACCAAAAACTATGCCTTTCATACTGTCAGGGATAAAGCAATTGCATTGGCTTGGCCATGATCGAAAAGCTTAAGATGCAAAGCTGCAGTTGTTCGTGTATGTCATGCCCCACGCCGCAAGATACAACCGACACGGCTCATCTTGTCACTTCTGCCTTGGTTCAGATTGGCAAATTGCATGTATTCTTAAGATCAGCTCATTT